AATTCAGCATTGACTTAGAATTCTGTTCTGCCATTTCCAAGTTTGTAACCTTGCAGCTAACTCAACCCAAAGAGACCCTGCTTATTATGAAAGACCACTAAGGGTTACTTTTTACTCTGCACTAAGACTGAAAATAAAATGCGCCACTTACACTGTGAAATATTAATGTACATCAATAAATCTGCAATAATTGGGATTTAGTACCTGTACTGTAAACAGGGCTTCAAATTCAAAAAAATCCCCAAACAATTGTTAAGTAGATTCTGATACTTCATTCGTTAAAGATGTAGCTGTACTGAAATGAATACTCATGTTGCAAAGACGTTTCATATCAATCCTTTTACATGACCACCATAAGCAACTCTGTTATACAGTGACTTAGACTTATCTCTCTTTGACATCATAGTCAGCAAGATTGAGGTCAAGAACTTTCAGCTGCTCAGCTTCAACGCCACGTGAAGCTAAGCACGTGAAGCGTCAGAGAAATGTCATCTCCGGTTTGCATTAAGAAAGTAAATAGATATCTAAGGCAGAGGAAATTATGTTCTTAGATCCAAACTACAACATGACCATGACTCAAAAAATAAATCAGTTACTCTAAGATCACCTCCTGTTTACTTTGTTCTGTGCACATTTTTACTGTATTTCAGATGTAGAACACACAATAACTAGTAAAAAATCTAGGTTGTCTCATGAACTGTTCTATTCTGGTTCAGATGTATTGTATGCATGGAATGAAATAAGATCTTTCTACGTAAAAGCACTACACTGGAATACATTAACAAGATAGAAAAAAATTAAATCCTTGTGGTGTAGAATCGCAACACGCTGCAAAAACAAGCAGGAAATCATCTGTAATCCCAGCTCAGACAATAAAACAAATTAATGTATTTGTTGCATAATCCTGACCACTCAAATAGGATTAAAAGGTTAAATTGTACCAGTAAAGAAAAATCAGTAAAGATATGAAGGTTGAGTAATGCTGCACTTCACATAGCAATACAACTCAAATGAACAAATTTATTTAGCTTGGCAAATTTACATAGAAATAAAATGAAATACTGCAAACGTCGTAAATCTGAAATAAAACCAGAAAATGCTACAAATGCACCCCATGCCCATCAGCATTTGAAATAAGATGGGTTTTAAAAAAAAACACCCAAAATGTGAATCTATCTTTTATTCCAATGCTGACTAATCTGCTTTGTGTTTCCAGCATTTGCTGTTATTTTTTTAACTGGCCAGTTTTGTCTGTTTTAACACACGTGTGTCATAGACATATTTCCGAGTAATGCAGTTATCAAGCTGTCATGCTATTTTATAACATCTTAATATGTTTACAACTATTTGCATTGCATTTTGGGGGCTTAGCCACAATGCATATTCCACTGGCCCATACTTAACATTAGATCCAAGTCTTTTTTTTTATATAAGCCAATGCCAGCTTCAATAGTTAAGCATAAATGAAATGATAAAATATCTCTTAATGATAAAATATTTCTCTACCGCTTTCAGAACAAATCTATCATCTCCAACTGCATAACACTCCACTGCATATTTCACTAGTTACCCAATGCTTCTTTGTCAACATGGTGGTAGTGGTGGGGTGGGGGGAAGAAATTCCACATGGGTTTATAAATTTACTCTACTTTTACAATAATTTTAAAAAAGCATTATATAGAAGCTACGCACCTCCACTCCATTAAACTGCCTGGATGGTTCCCTATCTGCTTCATTCATGGCTTTCAGGATTTTAAGAACATTCATTTCCCTTTGTCTATTTTAAACGCATATTAAACTGATCCAGTATTGGATTCTTGCAGAGTCTCACCATGTCCTTGTTATGCCCCTGTGACTGCCTGCAAGTCTTGAAAATAAGGTCTTTGATGAACGACAAGTGCATTATCAAAAAGATGCATTTTGGAAACTGAATTAGAAATAAGAGGCCTCTGGTATTTGACAATGTCAGTAACTACCAAAATAAGAACTGAAACCAAAGTTTTACTTTATTACAAAATAATTAGAAATTAAACAGTTTGCAAATTTTATTTATTCAGAGAACGAGGCAAGTTTTGTTCATGATTTAAGGCATTCTCTGTAATATAGGTTTAGGGAATAAAGAATATTTTACTTCTGTGAAATGAGTTGAAATCCAAACCAGATTTGTGGTGTGAAACTCCTTTCATTTTGCTGATAGTTAAGCTTCCTATGCAAAATGAACTTGGGCATTTTCAATCCAGTTCCCAGTGGATAATATTAAAGGTTATGGGGAAAGAATGAGAACAAGATTTGATTAGACAGCAGCAGCTCAAACAATGAGCTGAATAGCCTCCTTCTGTGCTGTCAACTTGGTCTATGATTCCAGAGAAAGGGGATGGAAATCACCAATGCTGTACGTGACATTTCACACACATTTTGTACAGCGACTTTCACGTCGCTAGCTCGAATAGAAGGAGTTTTACTCTATATTTGGCTGTAACTTTACATGTCTGGGAAAACCTGATTCTGGCAAAGTGTTCTCCAGTATGGATATCCCTCACCTTGATGATAATAATCCTTATATTTATGTAGTAGATCTAGACTTTGCCATTCACTTTAATGCTATAAATTATTGCATGCGAGACAGAACAATGAAACTGCAGGCTCCACTCAGAGGAGAATGTGACAGGAAGATCAGAGCATCCTGAAACCACTTCAAGCTTACAAGACAAACCCTCCGTATTCAGTACTTAAAAGGATCAACATTTTCTAGAGACATTCTCTTCCCTATCCCACCCCCTCACCGCAATGAACTTTCATCCCTACTTTAAATCAAAAAGCAGCCCCTGCTCACAGCTGTCTACTAATGCCACACTATCAACAGTTGCTAGGAGAAGAGTATGAGGGGCCCAAGTTAATGGTTATTTGAATGTTATTTTCCTCCTCGGCCACAGGGAAGTGACAGCCACTTCCTATATTTGTACAATTGAGAGCAGGTGCTCAGGATGTGGAGGATCCCGAGCACAGGATGCACTGGCAGAACATGAGACTGGTCCTCAAGCAGGACAGAGCTTGGAACAGACACTCTACCCTCAACACAGAAACCACAGCTCCATCTCTATAGCAATATTTACCCACAGGAGACAAACTTGAGCATTGCTCATATCCTGAAAATAGAAAAATAAAGATGATTTGCCACTATGTTTTCAAGGCTGGTACCCGTGCCCTAAACCTCAAAACACTTGATGAATTAAATTGATTTTTTTGGTTGGTCAGCAAAGTGGAAACCCATCTCCATGCTTAAGGGTATCCAAACCAAGCTGAGATTTCCATGCATTCCACCTACACATGGAAATCCCAGAGATAGATTGTTGGAATGGAATACACACTCTCCCTGGAGGGACGCATCCTGCTTAAACACTGTCAAGGGCTCTGAGACACTAGCCTACGTGGAGGGTGCTATATAAGTGCAAGCTGTTAGTTTCTTACCTAATTCCAGAAAATATGATGTGCAGGTTGGCAAGAGCCAAGGCTTGAGGACCCCGGAGTGTGCGTTGGGGTACTGCAGTAGTCTAACTAGCTAAAACCGCATAGGTTGCCATTGATATTGCTGTCTGGCAGGCTTTCCCGCTGCTTGTCCAGCTAGGACCACCTCACTGAGTGGGATGACTCCCAGGCCACCGTGACTGGTCTGCCCTTCCAAGTCCTGCCAATGAGCTAGACTGTCATCAGCAGTGCTCTGGAACACTGGCAACAGCCAGGACCCTACAACACTGTACTGTACTGGAGTGTCAGCCTATACTGGGGAGAGGTGAAACTCACAATGTGCGTCATGAACCCACAACCAGGCCGAGGAGGGTTACCAACTGAGCGAAGCTGGCAACAGGCTGATAGGTGGCGAAGGAACTGTAATCTGAATTATTTTCCCTTAAAAATCAAAAAATCTTAAAAACCTTCCTCACAATGTTAAATGTGGCGTGATTCCAACGAGCACTTGTACAATACAGTATTTATTATATGGCTCACTCCCCAATCCACCACCCAGCGCTTCCACTCGACTGGCACCGGCCTCCTGCTCGTATCTCGCACCCTCCGCGCCACCATCGGAGATCGCGCTTTCAGCCACTACGCTCCAATACTCTGGAACACTCTCCCTCAATCCCTCCGCCTTGCCCCTTCTCTTCCCTCTTTCAAGTCCCACCTGAAGACTTCCCTGTTCGACTGTGCTTATGGCCTCCTCTGCCACCTCCCCCTGGCTCGGAGTCAGGCTCCGCCACGGTCAAGCGCTCTAAGACGCTACCCTGCATGGAGGGTGCTATATAAGTGGAAGTTGTTATCATGGCTGAATATTGCTAAATCAATAACCATGACTTGTATTTGTCACGCAACCACAAAACCTTTATATAAAGCCATTATATGAAGTGTGTGCTTCTGTCAGCTACTGCTCAACTGACTGAATTCTGTAAATGCACTCCCAAATTTCTGACTAATTACCGCAGCTTTACAAAGATTTTACTCATACACTGGTCAAAAATCAATGACAGAAAATAATAATCCTTCCATTTGATATAGTGTCACATCATTGAGACGTCTTAAAGCACTTCACAGTATATAGTGTAAAGCAAATTGACTGTGTTTTGTGGGCAATACATGGCAGACAATTGTCCCACAAAAAGTCATGGATTCAGTGACCACATTTTTTTTCTTGAAGGATTATTACCCCCGGAAAGTGATCTGCCAATTGACTGATAACCGGGTTCCTACTTACCCCAAGGTAAACAGAGATGTGTGGAGTAAAGAAACTTGCCTACGGTTTTGCCCTGCCCAAGAATCAATCCATGTTCCTCACTCCTGTGAGGTGAGTACACTAACCACTACGCTACGGGATTTCACATATTGAAACTCATGCCACCTGCCATTGAAAACATATTTTAGTAAGCTAACAGGATGTGGTTTCTTCAAATCATCATGTACGGAGCGTGGGTTTGCAGTCAGGCAGGCAAAACTGTTCTGTGACTCACCTGTACTCCTCATGTGTGAAGCATTCATACAGCTCCTGAGCAAATATCCTAGAAATAGAAAATTTTGCCTGCAAAGAGCAAACAGAAAACTTCATTAGAGTTTATTGAAATTAAATGAATAGATTAAACTGAAAATTAACAGAAATGTGAGTCATTTGAGTTCCAATCATCTTAAACTTGGTGATTGCTGTGTAAGAGATTGCACTTCTAAAAGTTTAGAGATTGCACTTCTGAATGTCCAAAAACATCCAATCCTATGAATTATCAAGGAACAATTTTTTTTGCCACTTATCAATTTAAGTTATTGTTTGAAAGGGTTTGATTCCCCCCCCCACCCCGATACCCTCTTCTGCCTCACCTAGTGGCTATTATTAATATATGATTATTGGTAGGTTACTCAATTGAGAGAATCACAAGCCAACCAGACATGTCCTTCCCAGCATCCACATATTTGCACTTTCCAACATGGGTCACTGAATACAAATAACCAGGTAACCCTGGTTGATTTTTCCCTTCCCTAACCCCGGGTGAAGGAGGCCAATCAGCTAATTCAATAGGGTTTGCACCCTCTGATATGTATGGTTCTGTGCTACACTGGAATGTGAATTTGTCCACTGGACTTTCACAAGTGCAATCTCTTTCTTACACAACAGAGAAAAAAAATTGGCAGGAAAGCGAAATAAAAGTTGAAAAAATGAGTCAAAAACTATACACAAATAGAAATCTGCCATACCTCAGCGTAATTTAAAAAGTTGTGTACGGTCTCAGCCAACTTCTGAAAATCTTGAACACTGCTGTCAGAACACATAATTCTAACAGAAGAAAAAATTAAATAGATTAGACAAAGTCTAAGGAAGCAGGTCTTAAAGATGCTGTCATGTTCCACTGACCCTATGCAGTAAAGGAGAAACATGAACCTTTTATTTTTATATAAGATCCAACAAAACCAAAAGGGATTATTGAGGCTAGTCACCCTAAAATACAGTTATTGCAACAATGCCCAAACATAACCTTACTTCTGTGAAGTATTTGTTGCTTTTTCTACAGAAAGCTTGAATTTTCTCTTTGTCTCTCTCAATTTATATTAAACCTTATGCATACTCTGTACAATTGACGTGGGGTTAAAGTTTAACTCCATTTTGTTCAATTATCAGCATTCTTTCAGTTTTTTGTGCCCAGTGTTAGCTATTAATCAAATTTCAGGTGTTAAGTCTGTTATTTATAGTAGATTGCCCAATATCTGCACAATGATCCATTGTGAATCCACCAAAACAACAGCACAGAGACATTTCTATGTGTTACCCACACACTAACATGGACATAGTTCCCATGGCATCAGACAACACAGAATGAATACACGTACTTATTGCCAGTTTCAATTTGGTCAGCGGAACTTGAAATACAATTACATATGCTTAGGAGATTTTATATTCCAATCATTTAACCCAAAACCCATATAGCGATACAATGCTTTAAAAGCTTAATGAATTATGAAATAAGTCCTGTAGCTTAGTGGTTAAAGCACTCGCCTTGCATGCGAGAAGACCTGGGTTCGATTCCCGGGCAGGGCAAAACGTTGGACAAGATTCTTTACTCCACATGCCTCCGTTTACCTAGCAGTAAGTAGGAACCCAGTTGCTAGTCGATTGACGGATCGCTTTCACTTCCAAATAAAAAATTATAATAATTTGGTCACTCAATCCATGACTGTTTGTGGGTCACTGCTGTGCGCACTTGGCTGCTGCGTTTTGCCCACAAAATATACAGTTAATTTACTTTACAGTATATTCTCTGAAGCGCTTTGAGACGTCTCAAAGGCACTATATTGAATGAAAGGATTATTATTATCTCATACATGTGGCACTGCATAATTATGGGTGCTAATTTAAAAACGTCACCAGTATCAACCTGTTTGTCCACCTTTAATTGATATTGGTTACATACTGCATAGGGCTACGTGTCTTATAGCAACATTAAGTGTCAGCCTGTTTAATTTGGTAGCACTCTCAACTCTGAATGAAAAAGATGAGAGTTCAATCTTCACATCGTGCTCTGAACCCACAGTCTAGGTTGACATTCCAATACGATGCTGCATTGTTGGAGGTGTTGTCCTTCATTTTACCATAAAGCACTTTGAGATGTTCTCCTGAAGTGAATGGCACAATACCAAATCAAGGACTAAGAAAAACATCTACCTCAACAGAGTACCAGCTGCTGCACATTTCCATATCACCATAAATAATATTAATCATGTGTTCTCTGACTGAAGCTGGCGAATTTCAGTTTTTGATGAGAACACTAGTTAGTGTTACGTTGGGGTCTAAAATGTGGAATTTGAAAATATTGAATCCTGATTGTTGCCAGATGTGCAGCACATTGACCAGCAGCAATTCTGCTCTACGTAATTTGGGTTAGTAAGGTGAAAATCAAGATTCCCACTCCTACGTGCCCTCCAGTGACTCCTGCTGGAGGTGTGATTATCAAATGAATGAATCAATTTTGGCTTTAATGGCCCTCTGGTTGAATAGCCTCACTGTTAAGACTTACAAAAAAAATTGGCTACTTGAGTGACATACTGGAAGCCATCTTTAAAACTTTTCCCCAGTAAAAAGAGCAAAATAAGTCAAATCCTGAGTGAGGCAAAATATTTAATAATATTCCTTGCATTTGAAATAGAGCTGTATCACATCTCAAAGCACTTCGCAAAATATACTGGGAAGTGGATTGACTGTATTTAATGGGCGAAACTCAGCAGCCAATTGCACATAGCAATGTCCAAATTAAACAAAATCAATGGGGAAAATAAAGCAAAAATCTGAAGATGCACAACACACATCTCGAGATTTAGACCCAAACTAATTATAGCAAAGGGATTTCCAAGACAGCAGCCTAATAGTTGCTGAGATGACAGATGTGGATAGAATCATGCTGTTCATGGAAAAGGTTCATAGGGAGCATGAGGCTGTATGAAGGATTAGTTATTCTGTTAGTTCAAAACAATACAACAGCAAGCTGTTCAAGTATTTAATTGTGGATTATTATTCTATGTACCTGGTTCACAATTAACCCCTCCAACTACTGTGAATTAAATTATTATGACTTGGTGATACAAACACAAGCCTTATTCCCTGCTCATTAAAACAATGAGAAAATGATTAAATCTTCACTTATAAAACACACGCAAGAAAGCAAAACAAGGCTTGTTGGGTTTGAACGACATGCAGCCTTTGTTCTTGCAGCTTAGAACATTTAAGCCATTCGACTTGTTACAATCTTACAGCACTTGTAATTCAATGACTCGTTCACACGCAAGTAGTATAAACTGAGGTCATGAAAGTGCTAATAGGGAATTAAAGCAATTCTTTGACAAAGTGCCTATCTCCAGTGCACAGCAGCCGCAAACCAATTTTTACAATCTTCTATCGACACTACAAAATGTCACTTGGAATCACAGGCAAGACAAGTTGGGTTTTCTCCAGGAATACAAAGCTCTTGGAATAATGTTTTATGCCCAGTACATTTGTAGAAGAACAATGTAAAATCTTAGCTCAGCATGAATCGAACAAACTCAAAGACATAAAACTTATCACAATTTGAAGTTTTTTTTAAAAAAAGGATTGGCATTAAAATCATTGATCTATTTGTAGGTCCTTCCCATAGTCCTGGAATAGATCATCAAGCTAATGCTTGCCTCTTCACGCTGCCTGGCTGCCCAGAATGTTTGTTTCGGGCCACAATACAGAGAGAGAGAAAAAAAAGCGCTGCAATTAGTTAAACCACAATCAGCTGCTGACTGATATAACTGCAGGTCAGACCTCCTGTTCCGTTGGCACACAACCAGGCTCATCAATGTTGATCTCATGGTTTGTAAAGGAAATCCTCTATTCATTTACATTTCCAGATGTTTGAAAACTGAGTGAGAATAATATTCATCTGAAATTATAATCATACAGCTACCTGAAAGCATTTCAGTTCCAACTTCATCTCTGAATGATTTTAGCAGCAATTCTCGATTGTCATAGAATTGCAATTTTATCACCAACATTTTTCTATCTATATTCTCCCTCCTAACTATTTGTCCCCCCACCCACCCCCAACTGCACTGCAATGTGGGTAACAAAGTGATTTCAGTCCTAATTGTCAGAAATTACAAAATATGAATGAACGATTCAGCAACAACAACTTGCATTTATATAGCACCTCTCATGCAAGGTAGGAGTCCCAGAGTGCTTCATATGTAATAGTATTCAAAAAATTGTCATCTACCATGAATGCTAGTTTTGCTGGATGGCACATTGGATTTGCACAAAGGCATTAGTTTTGGGACCCAAGATGCAGCCCAGCTATCAGTGTGAGTTCACAGCACAAAGCTGCTCACAATGCATTACAAACTGGAATTCTCACTTGAGAATGCAACTGCAGCTAGCGTGGGAAAGACAGGAAAAAACAAATCTCACTGCTGACTGCATTATCGTCCTGTAAGACTTGGCGTAACCATATTGTTGGAATAGAGTTAAGGGAGCTTTATTGTCTTTAGCTTTGTTGTCCCTGCCCTCCACCCTCCCCGATCCGATCTCGGGTACGAAACTCTGTCTGTCCAGCTCCTTGGGTCATCCTCCTGACGTGAAAGGTGCTATACAAATGTAATTTTGTTGTTGTTATTGTCTATAGACTCCTCTGTTTACAGGCCGACAAGAGTGTGTTTCGGGCCACAAACAGATCAAATTTTTCTGGGCTCCTTATCTGGTACATTGGAACACAAACAAACATCTAATTTTGGGGAGACAAACCAGCAATACTTTTTAAGTTATTAAATACAAATAAAATAAAAATATATCAGTACAATAGAACAAAAAATCTTTTTATAAATATCTGGAACTGTGTGAACCTTCCTCACAGGCTGTAGGGATATGTGGAGTTAATACTCAGTGACTGCCAGTTCCTTGAGAAGCTGCAAGTACTAATCTTGGCTTCATGAGTTGATGGTGGAGCCTGGTCCCTCAATTCCCTGGGTTTGCTTGATTCACAACCAAATTCATTGTTGCATGGAGCCTTCAATGTTTCTGCGCATCTTTCTCGATCAGTCATGAGAAACTTTTTGCCAGGTTTCAAATGAAACTTTTCCGCATGGAGGCACCATTCATGCTTGTCTACACTGAAATTTTTCAGAACTTAAACCTGAGTGGATACAGCAAATACAGAACTAGAAAAGGCATAAATACAGCTTTAATTTGAAGCTAGCTTTCTGCATGTTATTTCAAGAACTACAGAAAGATGACTTCAAAGTTAAGACTCATTTTGCCAATTTCTATACAGTAAGATACTTCATAAATAGAGTAAACCAAGATCCAAGTGGAATTTCCCCCACAAGTCGTTCCTATATTGAATCCCCTGTCCTGGCCCCCACAACTCTCCCTAGTAACCTGTTCCAGCTGTTGACGATCCTCAGGGTAAAGAAATACTTCTTACCATTTGTACTAATCTTGCCTTTCACAACAGTGAACCTGTGCTCTCTTATTCTATTGCTAGCTTTCTAATCGTGCATACTATCATTTAGTCTTAAAATTTCAATTGGTTTCCATCCCTAAGCATAGGGTTAAATGAGAGATAAGATGGACATATATTCACAACCATAAACTGCTACCATTTAAAAATCACAGGAATTATGCTGCACAATCATTTATTACAGATTTGGACAAGCTGAGTAATATTTCTCACAACTCAATTTTTGTGCACGATAGAGAACCATCCTTTAACCAATGTTTAATCAGGTGTGTCATCTGGTAAAAAGGAAATTACTTTCCCCAATGCC